CGGTAAGCTACCTCCTCCTACCCCTCCTGCTTCTCCTCTCCTACCCCTCCTGCTTCTCCTCTCCTACCCCTACCCCTACCCCTCCTGCTTCTCCTCTCCTACCCCTACCCCTACCCCTCCTGCTTCTCCTCTCCTACCCCTACCCCTCCCCCTACCCCTCCTGCTTCTCCTCTCCTACCCCTACCCCTACCCTATCCCTCCTGCTTCTCCTCTCCAACCCCTACCCCTACCCCTCCTGCTTCTCCTCTCCTACCCCTACCCCTCCCCCACCCAGCCCAGCCACTGACTCCTCATGTTATGCTGAAGTGTATGTCGCTGGGATGATAGGGATCATTATGGAATTGAGGAGGAATGACTTATTGTGAAATTCACGCTGGCTAGGCTGCGCAGAATCTAATGAGATAACCTATTGTCAAATTAATCGTGGCTTTTATAAACAGATGCAGGATTATCTATGCCTTACACATTCCCACGTTGATGCCATAATGGTCTTTACATACAAAAGTTGTGTTATACAGTCAAATAACACTATAGATATAGTTGTTTATGTTACAGAAGATGCTGGAATATCAATTATTATAATTATAATTATTATTATTATTACAGATGTGTCAGTGGTGCACGGGATGCGGCGGCTGCCGTCGCCGCGGCGACAGCTGCACGACGACGGACAGCAGCCGGGCGCCGCAGTCGTGCGTCGGCAGCAGCAAGATCATCAACCCGATGGCGATCAACATCTCGAGTCACTGTCACGACCGCACGTGTCACCACAGCACGTGTGACGACTGCACGACGCGTGAGCAGCACTGCATGTGGACGCGCAACATCCTGCGCCGCGGTGAGTGTTCTCGCTCTCCCAGCATCCCCGTGCGTACGTCTCGTCGTCTCGTCGTCGTTGTCTCGTTCGTTAAACGTGAAAAAACATATCGTTATTATTGTCATGTCGTGTTGTCATTTGCGTTATCATCAGAATCGTCATTTCAGCTATTGTTCGTGCATTCGTTAAATGGTCGAGTTATACCGGGCCATTACAACACATGGTTATATATGTATATATATATACACACACACGCACACACACACATATATATATTTATAAAATGGCTCGGATATTTTATGCATCATGATTGGTTAAAACGCATCACGTGACACGCCGTTGTTGTTGTTATAATGCACGCCAAACCGTGTAAAAAAGCGCGCAAAAAAAGTTATATTGCACGCTCGCGATTATGTTAACATTTACAATAATTAAGCATCAAACAGAAATTTTCGAGATGTAGATTTACTATTGATTTTCTAGACTATTTATCTAGACTGTTTATCTAGACTTACTGTTAAATTGTTATAGTGTGTGTCGCAATTTAATCAACTGTAAATGTGTTTGTTTTTGACTTTCGGGACTGGAACAAATTTTCGAGATCTAGCCTTACTATTTATTTTCTAGACTATTTATCTAGACTATTTATCTAGACTTACTGTTAAATTGTTATAGTGTGTGTCTCAACTTAATCAACTGTAAATGTGTTTGTTTTTGCCTTTCGGGTCTGGAATAAATTTTCGAGATCTAGCCTTACTATTTATCTAGACTATTTATCTAGACTATTTATCTAGACTATTTATCTAGACTA